CCAGACCTTTCGTTCGAATATTGACCGTCTCTCGCGTTCGCAAAAAATACGACTGTTTTTCAGTCTATCCCGAGAGCGTGGAATAAATGATGACGTCACGTACGCAGTGATAATATAAGCCTAAACCAGATGCATCATGAGATACTATTCGATCGTCGTCTGAACTGTTGGCAAGGATGAATTTTGCATGAAACAACATTCGGTCACCCAGCTCAGTGGTAATTACAGCGGGAAAGCAAATATATTTCACCGTTGCCAGACGTGTATAATACTGTTAAGTCACGTCATATCTAAGTGTCGATTCTAAAAAGTTTCCTAAAATTAAAACTTGCAATTTTCACCTGGTATTAGATGCAGTGGCGGATTCAGACCTTGAGCTAAGGGGTATAGAGGCCCCGTTTTGCTTTGCTTGCCCCGCCGGCTATTCTTCCATCTGTTATTTCTTCTTTTTTCACCCAAAATAAGGGGGCCCCAGGGCCCCCGGGCTCCTCGCGTAGATCCGCCACTGAGATGTGATATATTTCTGTATTGCGTAATACCACATTCAAGACTGTCCCACTGATAATCATCTTAGTTACTAGTCACTTGCAAAAAAATGAACCACTGAAGTCTTAAATTTTTAAAGATCTAAATTATGATTTTACACTTGAATCGATTTGGTCGGACGTGGATAAACTCAAACAGCTTGGTAAGCTTCTACAACATTTTTAGGGTAAATATAATTGTACTAAGTTCTAGTGTTAAACTGCAGTCCATAGTTATAGTATTGCTTGTGAAAACCATACTAGAGCTTTAACTCTCTTTTCTTAAGTGTCAGATTTTGACTGTAGACACTTCGGCTCATCACTTCTCCTTGGAAAAGTATTCAATAGCAAATGTACACAAGGATCATAAATAGTTCGGTAAGGCTTGAAAAGTAGAATTTGCCCTACTGTTGGATATAAGTAGGCCTTAGTAAAAGTAAAAACGCTATGTAGTTTTTTTCTTCGAATGTCTTGGTATTTCCGAGAAAAAGGACATTATCGGTTTCACGTCCAGACATCAATCTAACGAGTTCTATAACTGGGCTGAAAATTGACCATTTTCATTCGATTCGCATTTCGCAACTCTTGAGCACAGAAAAGTTGTAATACAACCAACTTAATGCAGAACTATTCCTTGTCCAAAAAACCCCAGTCTCAAGAACATTGGATTTGTCTAACTATTTAGCGGTAAACAAAACCAAAGTGTTCTCCAACGATGAGTTCGTCAGTCGGTGAATTGCTTATGATATTTCTTCAAGAAGTTTTGTGTGTCATATCAGGCTTATTTCCTGCAGTCTTGCTCCAACATTACTTCAACGCCATCAAAGTCAATGAAACGGAGAATAAGAATATTCACAAGAATATTTTTATCCTAAGATTTGTAGAAAGATAAGAACTTTAGTCAAGTCCGGAAAATAAATATCCTTACATTAAAAAAAAGTGTGGGCTGAAAGCCAAAGCCGACCGCAATCCTATGTACCACTTGCCAGCTGACACCGAAAACTTGGCAGATATAATCAAGAAAAAAACTGAACATTTAAAAGATGTTTTCCCTATTTCTGATTTCGACAAAATTGAAACATTATTCGACAATTCAAATGCCTCGTTTCCTTGCATTTATTTATTTTGAATTTGGCATAAATGCTCACTAGAGCGATTACTGAAAAGTTTAAATGTCAGTAGCGACGTTTGGCTACACGAGCGCAGAGAGGTAAACAGTTGATGGTCACAAGATGTCAGCAAATTCATCAAACCCATTACACTACGGCCTACCACTTCCTGAAAACATGGTTAATTACAGATCCTCGGAATCCAGAACTCGTCTCTGTCGTACTCTATAAACTGGTTATGTTGTCCCCTTTCTATCTCTGTCATCGACTATAATACACAATCGAAGCCGACTTATTGTGGGATTAGTACGCGGGCCACCATCTTGAACTCTTTAAGGATAGATCCTCGATGCAGGTGGAAAAGTACGATTTGGCGATGGAACACAGAAGATTGGTTGGCATTCTGCATCTCTAAAGACGGTGTGAACGGGCTTGGGACTACTTTAGAAGAATTTGTTTACTTGGCAGAATGCAATGGGGCAATTGCAACTCTCGTGAGACCAGATGACTCGTTGGTACAATTCGAGAAATTTGTTCAAAGCCTTGAGAGAGCGTGCACTGGAGATGAACAGCCCAGCGATCAGAATTGCAACGACGAAATGCCAAGAGAGTTAAT